CTGACTAAACAGGCCACTAGTAAGATGGCGATTATTTAAGTTGCAGCAAACTGTCTTCCATTTTTATCCTCTGGAAACTTTAAATCTTTTACTTTTTGTACAAGTAATTGCCTCAAGCTGTATCTGATATCATTTGGCTCTCTTGAAACTTCAATGATGTGACCATCGCCATTCATTTCATCGTTGTTAACATGTTTTCATTTTTTCGCTATCAGTTTAACGTTGTATTTTTGTATTTTTTACTGTTTCAAAACTAAAGAATTTATCTGTGAAAAACCCACTATTGCTGTCTGGCAATTTTCATTGTCGATTTTCGGATGCTCACATTCTTTTACTTATAATCATTCTTCAGAAAGTTTTTAATGGAACCTTCATGTTTCTTTCTGACTTTTCCCCTGCTGCCCACTGTCTCCTGTACTCAACACCAAACAGGCAATATCTACTCTCCAAAATTTTGTGGTTAAACACTGATTAATAGGCTAATTAGAGCAACGGAGAAAATAATAAACAAACCACTCTACTTTCCATGTTCAACTGCACTTAAACACATACATGAATCATACCTTTTTATAAATTAGATGATAGGCATTCATTGAATCATCTGGATAAAGGGTTCTCAAACTCTTTCGGTACAAGAGCTTTTTATCAGGTAACTAAAAATCAACAACCGTTTCCAAGACGGCACTAGTACGTTAATATATTTCCATATATACAGTTCATTTTGAAATTATTTCTTAGTTTTGAAACATTTAATCATAAAGGATGTAAAATAGTAGAAAAAACAATGAGACGGGTGTGACCTAGTGGTTAGCGTACCCTAACTCTGGATACAAGCATTCATGGTTCGTTTCCATTGCTGAGGTCACGAATGCACTATAAAAGCGATGGTCAAATCCCACTATTCGGTCAGACAAGATTAGCTTTCATTTTTATCTATCTGTTTAAGATGAGGGACAGTTATGCCCAGGAAACTCTGATGTGGATTTGCATAAACGCCTGAAATGAACACAATCTGAAACGAACTGAAAAAAATAAATAATTTCCCTGTAGTACAACCGGAATGAAAAGGTTTTAAGAATATGAAGCAACTCTCTTTGAATATATTAATATTTACAACAAAAAAACAAAAAACAAATAAAGATATTTGTTGCTTGTTTTAAACTCTTTTTTTTTTGCCCCTGGTGGCTCAGCGATAAGTCTGCAGGATTATAACGCTAAAAACCGAGTTTCATTACCCATGATTGGCACAGCACAGACAGCCCATTGTGAAGCTTTGCGTTTATCAACAAACATCATCATGTCTGGATCTGGATTTAGATCCTTTCTATGGATTTGGGAGGATCAGGATCTCCTTAGACCTCTTCCTGCCAACAACAGACCCACTTTGATGTCTCACGTGCCGTAGCAAATTACAGTTTGAGAACATCTGAACTAGGTTTAGAAACTCCTAGTAAGGAAGGGGGTTGTTTTCGAAAATACTGTTTTTCTGTACTTTCTAACTGACGTGTAAAACTATACTAGAACTTGCTACAATAATAGGAAAGCATCGGCCGCGACTCAGGAGGCGATAAGCATTGGTATGTTGCCTTTCTAATACTACTTTGACATTATTGATAGAGCAAATTTTGTTGACTGTATTTCATTTTAATCAATGTTCTTCTCCTCAGCGTTAGTCTTTATTGTTCTTGTGTTATCCTTATTCATGTTTCTTCTTTCCGTTCTTTAATTTCTTTTTTTCACTTTGCTCAAACTCTAATATTCTGAGTTTTGAATTTTTCTATTATTTCAGTTTCTCTCGCTGCTCTATAATCAAATGCCTACTTTGACTACCCGTATAGGCCAACTCTGGTTAATATGCTACAAAATGGATTGGTGTGTGTATGAATATTAACGTTGATTTTTACCAAGAAATATTGAATACAGATTAGGGATGACAAACATATTATAGGAATTAAGAAAAGTGTGGAATTGAAAATACTATTATAATAGGGACATTTCAAAATATATTAGATAGCTTTCACACTCAAACACTTTTATGGATTGCTTGTTTGTTATGAATACAAAGTTACACCATGGTCTATTTGTGGTTTGTTTATCGCGAGTATCGAAACCCAAATTTTAGCGTCGTAAGTTTGTAAACTTACCGTTGTCCCACAGGGGGACTTCATGGAAGTAACTGTTATTATAAACAAAATACATGTGATGAAAATATTACAAGTGACACAAAAAAATCACCTATTTGATTACAAACGAACACTGAAGTAAATAATTTCAACATTGTTGACATGGATTTGTAGTACGAGCTGTAAAATAACAACAATATATGTAAATAAGACTGAAGATTTAAAGCTTTATAATGCTGAAAAAAAGCTGGGTGCTCGATGTAATAATTTACATAAATATACGGACAGTAGTGCTGGAAAATAACATGAACCAACACTAAAACTAAAAATCTAATAACAAAGAACACATTTTTGCTCAATGTACATACGGCAGCGTGAATCAGACACATGCAAATTACGGACAATGCAGAGTACGTTGTGCTGAACATTACGTTGTACAGAATCTTTCGTGACTGTCTGAAAAATGTCATCAGCATGAATTAAGGTCTGAAAAACAAAACGAAACAAAAAAGATTTGATCACACCACCAGTTTTATATTCATGCTAAAATGAAAGAGAAAAACTATTCTAATGTGTTTAAGTTTATTAAAATCGACAAAATGTCATCCGAATAATATATGAATAATAAAGAACTCAGGCGTGGCTAGCGTACGATAAAATAGTTTTGGTTTCTTTATTTTCTCAGCTTGATGCATATTCGCAGGCAATATAGAAAAAAAAAATATATATATATATCGGCGTCATGCATTCTGTCCTCTATGTAGTATTACAAGCTAACTTCAAAACTCCTATTTACCGATTTTATTACAAAATGAAATGTTTTATCTCGTTCTCTATAATGAAGTAATTTGTTACTTTTTATAATTCCAAGTTCACGCAATTGGTTATTTCATATGCTGGTATAATCTATATATTTTGTATTCGTTTATTGTCCGAGACTGGGATTATTTCAAGAGAACTTTGATTTTATAAATTTACAAATCTACAGCATTACCCCTATATTTTAAATTTCTCGTTTTTATTGAACCTATTAAATATTTTTACTGCTTTTTTCCACACAATGAACATATCTTAACAGTAATTTCGTTTTTTGTACAAAATGTAGAGAAAAGGAAAAGAAATAAGATTAGACTAATATATATATATATATATACTAGGGGTGTGTATCTCATCATAGTAGTTGATACGATACCTATCTAGATACAAAAGTTTTACCAACGGTTTGTTACCAAGTTTGACAGTCTTGCCTATAATTTATTATCTATATTACTAACATTGTCTTACTTATGTACTTCACACTTTACAGTTGTTTTTCAAATTCTCAGGTTTGATCAACTAAGTAGCAGCTGGCAAGAGGAGTAAAAATAAAAAAGTTAATATCTGTCTCTCTATTTTTTATTGTTAATTTGTTATGTTACTTTGCTATGTGTATTGTTTTGTATAAAAGTAAATAGAAGACAACATGTAGTACTCAATACTCTATTTC